GGGAGGGAGAGAGAGAGAGAGAGAGAGAGAGAGAGAAGGGAGATAAAGACAAGTACCCTTGACAGGATTTCACCACATTGCAAGACCCAACCTGCAGGGTATTCCTAGTGTACTCTTGCTAACCCAGGACTCGAACCTGGTCTTCTCATGTGGCTCCAGTATCATGTAGTGGCATCCTGCCATCTGTGCCACCATGGCTAGGCATCCTGTTCTTATTCATGTGTAAGTTTTCCTGCAAGAATTTGATCTGGGACAAGCTGGATCCCACATGGATAACCAGAGTTCAGATCCCTTCTCTGGCAGCTTGAGAAACATACTGGGTGCATGTGCATGCCCCAAATCCTGACAACATGCAAAAATGGAGAAGAGACTGCAATATGACCATACATCATTGTGGGTACTTTCTCTCTCGCTCCCTGTCTTTCCCTCTCTGACTCTCTCTGCCAAGCACAGGTGCCCTCTGGCAATGATATTAAAACAACAAAAAACAAACAGTTTGACCCCCTTCCCTCTGTGAGGTCTCCCCAACCCTGTCACTCTCCAATGATCACTCTTCCTGCATACATCTGTGCTGAGCATCACGAAGAGTGACTGAAGAACAAATGGCAGCTTTTATCTTTAGCTACTAGGCCCAACGCTTTTTGCTTCTGGATAAAATGAGTGGTCCTGGAACCAGCAGATGGCATAATGGTTACATCACTGGACTTCCACGTAGTCTAGCACAATTCAAGTCCTGGACCTGGTGGTTTAAACTCACGCTGGGTGCATGTGCCTGCATGCCCAAATTCCTGAGAGGAGAATGGAGGAGAAAGGATTGTGGCATGGTCATCCCTTGTGGGGGGGGATTTCTCACTTTCTATCTCTCTTTCTCTGTCTCTGGTGAGTGCACACACCCTATAGCAAAAATCTCTTTTTTAAGGGGCTGGAAGGTGGCATGGTGGTTAAGGTGGCTGAACTCCCAATTGGCTGACCACGGTTCAAGTCCCAGACCTTACAGCTTGCTCTCTCTCACTTTCCTTCTCTGTCTCTCTCTGGTCAACTTCAAAAGGAATAAAAATGAAAGAAAAAGTTTAATTTGTGATGTAATTGAGGAAATGTGAATATTGACCATGTGTTTGTTGACATGGAGGAAATACTATCAACAATATTACTGTTTTGTTTTTAATGAGAGAACATTTATTAGAAGTACATAGTGAAATATTGATAAAATATTACATTTAGGATTTGCTCCAAAATATACTATATGAGGCTCTGTGAGGAGATGGGTGTGTGGGTTACAGATTAAAAACTGGCAAAATTTTCCTATAGAGGGCCGCAAGGAGAATAATTTAGGCTTTTAGCACCACACAGTCTCTGCTGTGATAACTCAATTCGGTCTTTTTAGCACAAAAGGAACCATAATCAATAAGTAAATATATGAGTTTTGGCCGTGTTTTGATAAAAAAACTTTTTTTCATAAAAACAGGCAGAGGGCCAGTTTCTGTCCACAAGTCATCACAATATACCGACACCTGGGTACAGATGAAATAAAATTGGCCAGGAATGATCATTATTGAAGCTGAGTAATAAATACGTGGGGGTTTGTTATACTACTCCATTTTGTACACAGTAGTATTTTCCATGACAGTATGAACATTTCTATAATTTTCATAATAATGCTTAACTTTTAAAAAATGTAATTAGTTCATGTTTAACTTAGGTAACTTCACTTAAATTCAAGTCAAAGTAGAAAATGGAATTAGCACTAATGATGACAGAGTATGAGTTTCATTCCTAGATGAGTAACAAAAAGAAAAGGAACCATCAAGCATACTGGAAAAACAAAGCTCAAAGCAACCCAAGCCTGGAAATTTGTAGGGCCAGAAGGCAAGGTGGCATTTGCCTGGCACATGCCAGATGGCTGAACCAAACAAAGCACAGACACTCTCCCAAAACACTCCACTCCGACATCTTTTTCTTTTGCAAACTTAGGAGAGGGAAGAATTCTTATTTTATTCAGGAGCCTTTCATGACTGCTTTACTGAGAGGTGAGTCTTTCCTGGGAGCAGAATACATTCTCTTTTAAAAGCTCTCAGGACCAGAAGACACATGTGGAAAGAACTCCGTGTCCCTGGCAGACGGGGAACAAAACCCGCTCTCCTTGAATTTGGAGTCTTCCCTCACTTGGAAGCCTCTCTCACCCTTTGGTTTTGGAGAACTCAGCTGCACTCCCACAAAGCCCAGCTGAACGGGAAGCAGTCTGCTGTCAGGGGCAGGCTGGGCACAGGGTATGGTGAAAGGCATCAAGCTCTTTCTACCTTGCCTTTCCCATGAGCCCCTTTTCCAAGAGAGCCTCTAAAATTACTAATATGTCTGAAAAAGTGAGAGCAAAATTAAGGGAAGTGAACAAGAAAAGCAACGGAACAACCCAGGATAAATGTCACTGCCAGATGGTGAAATGACTGAAGGCACTGAGACATCAAAGGCCCAGGAGGTGTCTTCAGTTCCCTTTCCTCTAGGACCCAAGAGCCTTGTCAGCTCTAAGAACCATTTAATAAAGTTCATGACCATCAGTCAGGGTCAACATAATACATATAGGGAAAAGGAGAAAAAGACAGAGAGAAGAGAATGTATGAATAGGAGGGGAAGACTATAAGAAGAGGAAAAACCGAGAAAGGAGGAGTATGATAAAACAAATAGATGGCCATGGCAGCCGGTGGAGGGGAAGATGTTGGGTGACCCCTGATGCCAGTGCTAGAGTCTCAGGGCTTGTCGGTTCATGCCTTACCCTGGAGGAAGAGGCCTCTCCCAGGTGGTGGTCTTGGTATTGTGGTCAACATAATAGACACGTCCATTGGGCAGCTCTCGCTGCTCCCATCTGAAAAATAAAGTCAAGAGAAGCGTAAGACACACCGTTGAAAGACATAAGGCCATTGGAAAGAAGTTCTCATCACTCGTGGTTAATTTAAAGGAAACATCAAAGATGGCATGCAAGATAGATCCCATGGTGAAGCCAGCTGTGTTGTCACTGATGGTGCAACCTGGTGTGTGGCTTCTTGAGGAAACAATGACAGCTCCCTTTTATGGCATCAATGGACTAGGGTACACTCTAGACCACTCTAAATGCCCTTTAATGACCTAGAGAAATCCATATTCTGTGGATTTTTCTAAGTCAGTCCTTCTTGGCCATTTCAAGATCAAAAATCCCTTTAGGAAAGTGATGAAAGCTTAAGAGCTTTTCGTGCCAAAAAGCACTTATGACAAAATCTGTACACAATATCAGGGTTTCATGGACCTTCTGTAAGTTTATCTATAGACCCTCTACCTTTTTAGTCTACACAACCTGTGACAGTCACAAATTATATGACAATTCCTATTCATCTAGCATCATATTTATTCATGATTGGATTCATTTTTGAAGGATCTTTATAAGAGATCTGGGTAGAGAGACCAGCAGTTGGCATAATAGCTATGTCGCTGGACTCCTATGTCATAGACTGCGGTTTGAGTCCCGGACCCGGTGGCTTAAACTCATGCCGGGTGTGCATGCGTGCATGCGTGCCCAAGATTTCTTGCTTTCTGTCTCTCTGTCTTTCTGGCGAGTGCATGTGCCCTATAGGAAAAAAATAATAATAAAAATAAAAGATCTGGGTAGATCAAGAAGCACAGCATACAGCTCTTTACTGAGTATTCTACCCATCTATTTGTCTGACCATACTCTCTCCTCTCATAGTCTTCCCCTTCTATTAATAGTCAAGTCTCTGTGTAAGTTATATGAGGTCAGGGTGCTGAGGGGGGTCTTCTCTGATGGAAGAATGAAAATGTGGCAAGTGATAGAGAATCCACCATCAGTACAAAATACAGCCAAAGGCCACCTGTCTCCACACTCTTATTATTTGCACACAGTCTGACAATAACTCTGCTTATCCAGAATAATCTATGTATAAAGAATGCAAAATTTTACTTATATAATGCTTACCACTTTATAAAGGACGTTAATAGTCCTGTGCACCTCGGGACCAGCAGTTAGCATAATGGTTATGTTGCTGAACTCCCATGTAGCCGACAGCAGTCCAAGTCCTGGTCCTGGTGGCTTAAACTCATGCCGGGCGCATGTGCGTACATGCCCAAGATCCCCAGAGGAGAATAGAGAAGGGATTGCAGCGTAGCCATACCCCCAGGGGTGATTTCTCGCTTTCTATCTCTCTGTCTCTCTGGTGAGCACATGTGCCCTATAGCAAAAACCTCTTCAAAAAAAAAAAAAAATATATATATGGTCCTGTGCACCTTTCTGTTTCTCAAGGATTTTATTTACTTCTACTTCTGGATACTGCACAGGGGAAGGTGGCCTTTTCCAGGAAGATAGTTGTCAGTTCTCCTGTAATGCTTGTTTGGAAAATGCAAATTTGTTCCAGTGTGACTGATACATGAAGGAACACTGTGAGAATAATGTAATTTTTGTGTCTGCTTAAGTAAGATTTGGTCTGTGAGAAACACTAAATGAACATAGACACTTTCCCTCAGCTAACCCCTGTCATGTAGCAATATGGATGTCCCACCAACACCCACAGGGGATATCTTCTAAGATTCCTTGTGGATGCCTAAAGCCACGGACAGTACCGAAGCTATATACACCATGCTGTTTCCTATACACACACACCTATGACAAGGTTTATAAGTTAGGCAAAGTAAGAGATTAACAACTAGTAACAAATAGAACATTTATAATAAATAGTATAATAAAAGTAGTGTGAATATGATCTCTCTCTCTCTAAATGTCTTTTTTTTTGGGGGGGGGTTGAGATGTTTTGGCTATAGGGCATATGTGCTCGCCAGAAAGACAGAGAGACAGAAAGCGAGAAATCATCCCCCAGGAATGACGGCCACATCACAGTCCTTTCTCCTCCATTCTCCTCTTGGGATCTCGGGCATGCACGCACACGTGCCTGGTGTGAGTTTAAGGCACTGGGCCTGGGACTTGATCTGCAGGTCAACGACATGGGCGTCCAGCAACATAGCCATTACACCAACTGCTGGTCCCTGTTTTTGTTTGTTTGTTTTAAGCTTTTGCCATAGGATGAGTGTGTTCAACAGAGAGAGGCAGTGAGAGGGAAAGTGAGAAATCACTCTCCAAGGGCCAAAGGGGACGGATACAACACAGTCTCCTCCTCCATTCTTCTCTCCCTGGGACTTTGGACACGCGTGCACACACACTTGGTGTGATTTTCAAGTCCCCAAGTCTAGGACTCGAATCACAGTTGGCCATGTGAGAGTCCAGCACCTCAACCATCATGCCATTTTCTGGCCCCAATGTTTTGTTTTGTTTTGTTTTGTTTTTTGAGAGAAAGAGATTTTCTGCTATAGGGCATAGGCACTTGCCAGAGAGACAGAAAGCAAGAAATCACCCCCAAGGGGGGAGGGCCACATCACAATCTCTTCTTCTCCATTCTTCTCTTGGGATTTTGGGCACACACACACACATGTGCCCAGCGTGAATTTTAAGGCTCTTGGTCTGGGACTCAAATCACAATTGATCACTTGGGAGTCCAATGACATAACCATTAAGCCATCTGCTGATCCCAGTGTCTTCTTTTTTAAGTTCACTTACTCATTTCCAAAGTAAGAGAGAGAGTGAGGAAGAGAAGCACCCACAACAGGGTCTCACGCCATGATCCACCCCCTCCAGACCTCCCACCTAGCCAGGATCATCAGCATGCACATTTAGTAAGTACAAGTCAACCTGGAAACCAAACTCTGACCTTCCACACGTTGTTACCACTACACCACCACAACTGGGCCTCAAAATATTTTATTTTTGGAGCACAATTGACTGCAGGGAACTAAAATCATAGAAAGTGAAACCACAGATAAGAGGAAGGGGACTACTGTACACAAAACCCACAAGAATATACCAGCTACTTCAGTTTACATTATACACCACACTGTCCACCTCTGGTGTTACAATTCCCATGTGATTTCAGGTACCACTTCACAGTCACACCAACAAGCTCCAACTCTTCCAACACCTACTTCAGGAGTAAACTTCAGGTCCTTTTAAAGGGAAAGTACCATCTTCATTATAGTAGTATGCATTTCCTAATCATTTAATGTGTATAAAACTATGCTACCATTTACCATTTAAAATTCACATAATAAAATTTGGTTGTAATGGGATGAAAAGAGTAAAAACTTGGAGCCAGCAGGTGGTGTGGTGGTTAAAGCACTAGATTCCCACATGGCCAATAATGGTTTAAGTCCCAGACCTGGAGACTTGCTTTCTCACTTTCTCCCTCTCTCTCGTGAACACATGAGCCCTAGAGCAAATTTTTAAAAACAGTAGTAAATAAAATTAAATACATAATTCTGGGGAAAAAAAAAAGAGGTAAAAACTTAATCCAGTTATAAAAGTAAGGAGGTGAGGTCTTAGAGGCTAGCAGGTGGTGTAGTTGTTGGGGCACTGGACTCCCACATGGCCAACCCTGGTTTGAATGCCAGATCTGGGAGCTTGCTTTCTCATTTTCCCTCTCTCTCCTTTTCAGTCCCTCTCTGGTCAAATTAAAAAGAAAATAATAATAATAAATTAAATTGAAAAAAAGTTTTTAATTGAAAAAAAAAAAAAGAGGTGAGGGTTTTGAGGTCAGCAGGTAGCCTAGTGCTTAAGGCACTAGACTCCCACATGGCCGACTGTGGTTCAAGTCCCAAACCCCAGTGGCTTGAAAATCATGCAGGGCATGTGTGCATGCATGCCAAAATCCCAAGAGAGAATGGAGAAGGGACTAGGACATGGCCAGCCTGCAGGGGATACTTTCTCATTTTTCCTCTTACTGTCTCTGTCTCTCTCTCTCTCTCTGGTGAGTGCACACTCCCTGAGGCAAAGGCTTCTAAAGATAAAATAAATTTAAAACATAATAGAAGGCAGAGCATTTATTTCAGTATACAGTCAGCTCTGCTTTAATGTGTATATTCCTAAAATTCACCATGCTCTGCAAAATCATGCCCTAAAAAAAATTTCACAGGGCTTATGGGGGAAAAGTGGATTGAGACATCACATTCAAAAATTCTGTTAGTAGTAAGTGAAAAAAAAAGAAAAAAAGAAGCCTAGTAACAATGTTTTAGTCCATCACGTTGCTAATAGCAGAAATGCCTGAGTCTGGGTAATTTATGAAGAAAGGAGGATTAGTTAGCTCAGGGTTTTGGCGGTCTAAGTGAAGTGGCAGCATCTAGTAGGGATCTTGCTGGCAGATTCCATGGTGGGAAGGTATCATACGGTGAGGCAGCAAGAACAGAGCACATGCCAATGTCTCTTCTATGTCCATCCCATTCCTTCTCCTTATAAACCCACCACAATCAAACCTGGGGGCCCCACCCTCAGGACCTTAATCCTCGTCACCTCTCAAAGTCTCTACCTCTTTTTTGTTCTGGTTTTGCCATAAGGTATGTGCACTCACTTGAGAGAGACCAAAAGGGAGGAAGGAAAATGAGTCCATGGTGTTCATTTCCTGGCTCCATTTTAATCATAACCCTTTGCTCGCACATAATCTACTCTTGCACATTTTGCACCACAGAGAGGACCAGATCTAGGGAGCAGTCACTGGCCAACTACTGGCTCGAGGACCAGGGTACCACTGGACTTTTGTTTATTTGTTTTTTGGGTTTGGTTTTTAAGAATTATTTAACTTTGTTTATTTATTTATTTATTCATTTCTTTATTTCAATGTGACCAGAGAGGGACAGAGTGAGAGAGAGAGGGGGAGACAGTGAGAAAGCAAGCTGCCAGGTCCAGGACTCAAACCACAGTCGCCCATGTGAGAATCCAGCACCTTTAACCACCACGCCAGCTGCTGGCCCCTATTTGTTGTTTATATCTTGCCAGAGGGT